ATGAGCACCCTTTGGGTTCGGTCAGTCAGCCAGTTACAAATCCACTGAGTGGTAGCATAGTCAAGACCACATTTTACCAGCTTCTTTACAAGAATATCATGAGGCACCTTGTCAAATGCCTTGCTGAAATCAAGGTAGGCTACATCCACTGCATTCCCTTCATCTACCAGGCTTGTAATTCTGTCAAAAAACGAGATCAGGTTAGTCTGACATGACTTATTTGACATGACTGATACCCAGCTCTAACTCTGAATGGTCCCCTCTCCCTTCAATCCTTCACATCCACCTGACTCCCTAGTATTTCTGCTTAGGTAATTCATTTTCATCTCAAACTCAGCATGTCCAAGACTGAATTTCTCATTTTTCTTCCCAAGCACTCCTCTCCTCGTACACATTAGCAGTATAATTCTGCTTCTGCCAAAACCATTCATGGCTGTCATTGCTCTGATCATGTGATGTCCTTCCTTAAATCCCTAGTTGTCCAGATCTCCAGAGCCCTCCATGGCCCTGCTGTCTTTATCTCGCAGATCTTATATGTAATTACATCCCTGTCTTTGACCTTCATTCACTATTCTACTAGTCACTATTCCAGCTCTGCCACCCTCAGAAAGCCTTCGGCTCTTTTTCCTCTTCTAAATTTTAATTTTTTTTAAATTATATGATTATTATTCACTACTAAGGCAATATCAAAATAAAAAAGCTGATCAATACAAAAAGTAATCAGTTTGTTCAAAAATCAAAGTATAAACAATTATCCCAAACCTATTGATCATTATTTCATGGATGTCATTCCATTCTATGTATTGATTGTTCTTGCTATTAAAGCACTATCATTATTAGAGATGCACAGCAGTCACAAGATTTGCTTCAGACTCCAATTTGCACCTTATAAAACAATCTATTATTGTTATATTTATTTATACCCTGCCTTTTTCTCTGGCAGGCATCAATGTGGTTTACTGATAAAAAAGAGATGCTAAAAACATAGAAAAAACAATAAATAGAAAACCATTAAATACTGATAGAATTAAAACTACATACATATATAACATCTGTTAAAACCATACCAATAATTACAATATAAAGAGCATGGCACCAGCCCTTTCACTCAAACCAGCCAGTTCCCAAATTTTCGTAGAACCTTAGAACACAAAAGTCTTCACCTGCCAGCACAAGGAGGGAGTTCCAAAGTCTGAAATGGCTTAGGCCTAAAAGTCAGAGGCTATCAGATTTGGCTCAGGGGCCTCAATCCATGTCATCCTACCCTCAATCCCTATTCACTGCCATTAAATTCTTCATAAAGTTTTCCACCTCACATCACTAGGTATGGAAACACCAGAGCACAATCGGCAGAAGTAAAACACCTCTCTTGAAGGTATTTCTCATCTAAAAAAGGAAAGCATGTTGAAAGGACTGCAGGATCTCACAAGCTTAAAAGGCTTGCCACTGCAGAAGGTCATAGGAAGTGGTCATGAGTTCTGTGATGATGGTGTGTGTGGCTGAAGGCACAGCTAAGCAGCTGATTTGTGCTTGTATTGCCTCTTTACTCAGGCGATGTCTGAATAAAGCTTCTGCTAAAGTACTTCTCTGCGTTTCCATTATTATACTGCACCAGCATTTGCATAATGACATTTTATGAACTTTCTAATAGGAATGCAACTCAGTAAAATAGATTCAAAGCATAATTGCTTCAAAAAATGGACATTAGCAGCAACAATCTTCTACTTGGAACAGCTTCTTAAAAGTAACGACATACAGAAAGCTTGCAGTTTTTTGGTAGCCATTTCTGGACTATATGGAACTATAGGAAATTCTTCTAAGATGAGAAATAAGCAGTATAAATGTTTAAATTAAACTGAATATCATTTGTTTAAATGGTGGCATTCCAAGTTTAAATACTTTCAGCTGTAATTTCCATACTCGTCAAGCCATTGTTTGAATCATATATTCAAATTTGAATTTATAAGCACTTGAATCATGCTTTTCTAGACCCAAGAGACTCTCAAAGTACCTTACAAGAGATTTGAATAATGCAACCACATCCAAAAATACTTCAGAAATAACACAATGCCAGGATTATGCAGGATCATTATTTGCCCTCATTTTTTGTTTCCCTTGGGGTCACAAGGTAGCTGGCCCATTGAGGTTCTTTGAGGCGAGGGGGCTGAACAGCTGGACCTTGTTTAATCCATGGTGGAGGCAATTGACAGGCAATTGATATGCAGCAGCTCCCAATGGGTTCCTCTGCGTAAAGGAAGCGGGGATAAACAGCTCTAACTTACTCAGTATACAGTGAAGCCAAGTCTTCCCTATATAGAAGTGCTCTTGCAGTAAGAGCACCTTTACCATCACCTTCACCTTCACTGGCAGTAAGGTGAAATGTAGGAATTTGTCTGTTTTTTAAACTAAAAAGAACGATGTCATGTAACAAAGTATATTTTATGCTATCTAAAGTGTTGTCCAATTTACCCACAGTTACAATAGGTATCCAGGGACGCGGGTGGCACTGTGGGTTAAACCACAGAGCCTAGGACTTGCTGATCAGAAGGTCGGCGGTTCGAATCCCCATGATTGGGTGAGCTCCCATTGCTTGGTCCCTGCTCCTGCCAACCTAGCAGTTCGAAAGCAACGTAGTGCAAGTAGATAAATAGGTACCGCTCCAGCGGGAAGGTAAACGGCGTTTCCGTGCACTGCTCTGGTTAGCCAGAAGCAGCTTAGTCATACTGGCCACATGACCTGGAAGCTGTACGCCAGCTCCCTCGACCAATAAAGCGAGATGAACGCCACAACCCCAGAGTCGGCCACGACTGGACCTAATGGTCAGGGGGCCCCTTTACCTTTACAATAGGTATCTATAATAAGTAAGGGGTCCGAGTGCTCGAACTTAATCATTGGTCTAAGACAGGCATGTTCAACAGGTTGATCACGTTTAATGATCGTCTTAGTGTTCCTTATAGATCCCCCCCAAAAAAACTGAAGAACTTTGGCCAACTTTCTCCAAATAAAGCTCAACAACTTTGGTCAATCCTCCCCTAAAAAAAGCTCAACAACTCCTGGCAATGACAATAGGTAGATCACAGCTGGCCTTTTTATACTGTGAGTAGATCGCAGTCTCTTGGGAGTTGGTCTAAGACAGGGGTCTGCAACCTTTAAGACAAAAAGAGCCACTTGGACCCGTTTCCGAAGGAAAAAAAACTGGGAGCCGCAAAACTCGTCATTATAAAAATAACTTTTTTGTCACTTTTTTATTATTTCTTTGTTTGCCCCTCAGAATTACTCCTCCTCATAGAAATAAACATTAAATTAACAAGTTACCTTTTTGTGTGTGTGTGTTCTTCACTCCCCGTCAAAACAGTGACCAGCGTACATGCCCCCTTTCAATGCAGTGACCAGCGTACATGCCCCTTACAATGTAGCAGGTGGGCGGGTGGGAAGGTGACGTCGGGACGGTGCTTGACTAACGCACGCACCGCCCCCATGCGACGTCACAGCCAGTACAGCGCCCGCCACAGTGGGGAGTGTCGGGGCGCACAATGCGCCTCCTCCCCTCGCTAGTATCCGCCCCGGAGCCGCGGCAAAGGTGTAAAAGAGCCACATGCGGCTCCGGAGCCGCGGGTTGCAGACCCCTGGTCTAAGACAATAGTTCCCAAATTTTCCTGCCACAGATCACTTGAAAATTGCTGGGGGTCTTGGTGGACCACCTAATGATTTTTCTGCCTGTTGCAGAAGAAACAACCATGCTAGTTGTTGTATAATTTTTCTTATATTCTTATTGCTTCTTTGATTTCTTTTTAAATTGTATTGTACAGAATCCAAATTGATATAGAGTAAAATACAACATAATAAAAGAAGCAATAAACGTATAATTAAAATCATTAAGATTATCCAATGTGATGGGTGTGCCAGAACCTGCTTTCAACCACAAATCCATAGACAAATCATGGACCACCTGAATGAAACTCACAGACCAAAGTTTGGGAACCCCTAGACTAAGGTCAATTTGTAAAAACACTAATCATAACTATCATAATAATTGCAAATATCAATTCCATACAACAGACATGTACAGATCTCTGAAAAAGATATAAAACTACAGTGGGGAACAAATAAACACATGCCTCATCAGACCACAAACACTACCCTGACCACAGTTGGGTCTAGTTGTTGTTCCAAGCCAGTCAGCTCCTATACATGTGCTAAAGGACTCAGAAGAACAGTGTACAACTCTTTTAGGCTGAAATCTCTCTCTGTCTCTCACTCTCTCACTCTCACTCTCTCACTCACACACACACGCACAAAATTGACAGTAACTCCCATTCCACTCAGCGCGACTTGCTTCTGAACAGATGTGCATAGGAATGTACTGTTACTGCTGCTTCCAAAATGTCAATGCAAGCTGCCTCATCTGTAGGTCAGTTTAAAATAGCTAGCTTTGCTGCAACAAAGCACCCTCAGTTGGAGAATGACAGTAACCCATCATATACAGTAGATTTCCCCATATAGTTCCCCCAAACACACACACTCACACACTAAATTGCCTGCTTTCCAGGTGGGCAAGGTGAATGGCTAGATTTAGGGGGAAGGACTAAGCTCAATTGCAGAACATATGCCTTGCATACAAAAAGTTCCAGGGCTGATCCTTGAAATATCTATGTAGGACTCTGAAGGATTTCTGCCTGAAAACCCAGAGAGTCATTATCAGTAAGTGTTGACAATGCTGAGCTAGATCAATGTTCTTAAAACTTCAGTCCCCAAATGTTCTTGGACTACAACTCCAATCATCCCTGACCATGGGCTAAGCAAGCTGAGGATGATGGGAATTGTAGTTCAACAGCATCTTTGGATTCAAGGTGGAAGAGCACTGAACTTGAACCACCCTGAGATCCTTTGATGAACCCATGGTCAAACTCAGTATAAACCATCTTGCTATATTCCTAGCTGCATTTCATATTAGTGGCATATTATTACAGTGATTAGGAAATGTGTTTTATTCCAGGGACGGGGGTCAAAACTTAATGGTAGAGCATATGCTTTGAATGCAGAAGGTCTCAGGTTCAATCCTTGACCTTACCAGATAGGGCTGGGAAAGGCACCCTGTCTGGAAAAAAACCTGGAGAGCTGCTGCCAGCCTGTGATTGTGCTAGCTGGACCAATGGTCTGCTATAGTAAGAGGCAGCTTTCTAAGTTCTGAGTATTTGGTAACACTTATAGGCAGGTGGCAATCTTAGTAATCAGTTCCTGAGATTACAAATGCTGGGATGACGAAGATATGTAGTTCAGTGATGCAGCATATCACCTGCATTCAGAAGATCACAGGTTCAGTTTCTGGCACCTCCCAGCAGGACTGGGGAAAATTCATGTCTGAAATTCTGAAACAAAGAACTGCTGGTGGTTAATGCTGGCGAGTAGATGGGCGAGTGGTCTGATTTGGAATAAGGCAGTTCCCCATGTTTCCCGTTTGATGGGGCCGTGGGACCCAAATGTAATTATATAGATTATCTTGATTCATGTTCTTTTCTTGAAGCAACTGTTTAAAGTGCAAATCTTTTTCCAGGTCAATTAAATAATATCTTTATTAGATTATTAACAAGCTCACTTAAATCAGTGGGAATGACTGTAGTGTCCTTGAGTATCCTAAAAACACAATTGACCTGATTTAAACTTCCAGGGAAAACTACAGTGCAGTGTGGAAGTGAGCAAAAATAGAAGCGGGGGAGAGGGAATCCCTCTTTATATAGTTAAATGGACATGAAAAATGCACTCCTCCAACTTTTTACAAGACTAATTCAAAGACAGAGTTGTTCTTTATAAGGACTCAACCTTTTTTCATGATCTTTTTTGCCAAAGGGCCCAATTTTATAGCTATCTTAAACACCATCACAGTCAGCTTCTTTATTTAAAGTTTGTATATATAGGAAATAATAGTGTCTAATATAAAAAGCATTTGCACACTGCAGCCTTATTTTCAGATAATAACACTATCTGCATTATTTTCACAAGATACTATTTTTACTGCAAGTAACAATTTGTTGTTGCTGTTGCTGAAAAGACCAATTCCTTATTCTACAAGGGACAATGTGCAAATAATAAGGCAAAATGGTGCAATCCACAGGGCAGCCCAGAAGTTAGTCAAATTGACCTCTATTAACTGGTAATGGAAAGTGGGGATGCAGAAACATATACAACCAATATTATGGCAGCTGCTGTAGCTTCCAGCTGAGGTAGGGCGAATTTTGAAATTTGCTGGTGTTGTTACTAGCTCAGTGCTAACATTTTAGCTTTCCCGGAATCTCCTAGAATGTTATTACATTATATTGCATAAACCCAGGGCATTCTGGGAAAACAAAATGGCAGCCACTAACCAAGAGGAGTGTAAACAAGGGTTTTATGTTTTAATTGGGACTACAGGCTTGGAGTAATAGTATTACTGCTCTTTCTGTTTTTATTTTTAATTCTGAACTTTTGATGTTTTAAAAATGTTCCGGTCACAATCCTGTCACATTCTGTATGATAAATAAAATTTATGGGGGGTTCCAGTGCATCCCTAACCATGTCTACCCAAAAGCAGATCACATTAAATTGAATGGGACTTACTTCCAGGTAAGTGGGCTACAGTTTTCTGCCTAAGAAGTTCTATTACATTTTCTTTAACTGTTGTGTTGACTGGTTTTAGGTTGATTTGATTGCTATTGTTGGTAACCTGGGGCACCTTTGGCGAAAATATTAGAAACTCCATGCAGAAATAAAAACTGAATACAAATAGACTATAGGCATATATAATGCAACTGTAGCATATTTAAAAGCTAAAACAATTTACCATTCATCTTTAGGAGTCAGTGATAAAACAAAGAGTTACAATACACATTTATTTTGATTCCCTTTAGATTGGGGTGGGAAACATTTGATTCTCCAGATGTTGTTGGACTCCAACTCCCATCAGCATCAGCTGGCATGGTCAATGGTCAGGGATGATGTGAGTTGTATTCCAGCACCATCTGGAAGGCCACAAGTGGTCCACCCCTGCTATGGTTGTGTTATCAGTGATGTCACAGAAATGCTTATCTTCCTGATAAGAATCCATGATCAACTTGAGAATCAAGATGGAAGTCTACAATAATCTAAGAAACAAAAATATCAGAATACTAACAAATATGTGTATATCAGGAATAAATGGAAGTTGGTATTCAACTCAGTTATTCTAAGTTAGGTCCATTCATTTAAATATGCCTACTCTGAGTAAAGCTGAGCTGGATACCACCCAGAATTTGTAGATTCACAAGGCATGTCTTTATTGGAGGCTGCCAGTTAAAACTCTCCACCTCTGCAGTATGAAATCAGAAAACAACACCTTTACTGTAGTAAAGCTGCAGAATGTTACTGTTTTTTTCACAAAATTTAGCTATATGCTTGTCATTTATATCCCTGAAGAGAAACAGCAGAGAAAATTGCAATTGTGAATTCCATTATTTTACATAAAAGGGGGGGGGGTTCAACAATGGAGAACTACATTAAAAGCTTTTTGAATTTTTTCTCTCACTATGAAAATGTCTGGACAAATGCTATAAAATATGTGTAGTTATGCATGATAAATACTTGTAATGGCATTCTCACTGGTGAACCTTGCTATATTTTACAAGAGTGCCAATACGCTCATTTGCATCTCTTTTATATGTCATCATCCCAGATGTAAATGCTACTATGGCCTAACATGAAGCAGATCACCATTCAAAGACATTGCTCCATATTTATGAGATCGCGGCAATGCTCATGTACCTTGCAAGGTTGCTAACAGCAAAACAGCACAATAATTTATTCATTAAATCCCCAGTGTACATTTCAGAATTACACTGATTAAATTTTATCTGCTAGCACTTGCTAGACTAATAGCTTCACATCTAGCTACACTTGCTGGCTACTGTACTAACCATTCATTCACTGGGATGACTCATTCTCTATGCAAATATATGTGAACCTAGCAGGAATGCGCTCAATGGCCTGTCTATTACTTGATAACTTTAAGGAAGACACAACACAAACATTTGTATATAATGTAACAGAAAGGCAACTCACAAACAGAAATAATAAAATACAATAGGATCAAAAATCACAGTGATCAAACAGCAGACCAAGTGATAAGACCAGTTGAAACAGTAACAATAAAATATCAAAACTCCATTTAAAAAAACAGCTGAAAGAAAACAACATCATATACTTAGGAAATAGCTGTAAACCGGAGGCAGGCAATGTAGTGCCCTGCAGATGTTTTGGAGTACAACTCCTATCATTCCTGACTCTAAATCAAAGTTGTTGTTTTGAAACTCTCTTTCCTGATTCTTTACATTATGTTGGCTATGTGGGGGATGATTCAGCGTCCTTCCTCTCCACACACACAAAAAGCGATCCCACAGAGTGTACATAGATCTATTTTCCATATAGAGTTGCAATTGCAGGATTGAGTTCCAACTTCATGGCACCTGAAATCACTATATCTCATTTAAGGAACTGACATAATTTCCTTTCGTGACACGCAACAAAAGTTCCCCTGTCGTAAACACTAATGTTGCTGCACATACAGGGCTAAATGCTTTACTCGTTGGGTATTTGATTTACAGCTGAAAATGTTGTGCACATTCCTCCAGCTGCACTTCCTTAGCTGGCTGCAATATGCAGCAATATGTCTGAGAGCAGCTGTTAGTGCACATCTGCTTTTTTTTATTTGCATTGGTGTGAAATAGCAGCTTGCTCCATGAATAAAACATGCTTCTTCTTTGCCCTATCCTGCCTGATTTACTTCTGAGCAGGGAGGTATACTTTTATTTTCTTTCTAAATCAGTTTCTCTAATTCATTTCTTTTCCTCAATATTAGCCCATCTCATATATCAAGGCACTAAGCAGACTTCTCCCTCTGGCAATACCACTGTGGCATTTGTCAGAATTTTCTCCTCTAATGGAAACATGGATCCAAATAGGGACTCACAAGCAGCTGGCTTATACAAAAGAATGTTGCTAAGAGTGATATTTAAAATACTTACGGAAGCTGCATGAAAAATAGGGTAGGCGATGCTGCTCTTGGCCAGCTGAATAGCCAAACAATAAAGGCTCACTCCAAATAGGTAGCCCAAAGCAAAAAATCAATCAGAAGTGAAATCCATGCAGCCGCTCCTCTGGTACAACTGAATGTGGAAAAACAAATTGATGTGAAAAGAGATCAAGACTAAGTGAAGATGAGGAGAACCCTGGGTTGCAAAATCTTGGTCAACTGACAAGGCTAATGAGAAAATGCTGTCCTTAGTAGCCTCACCTTGTTCTTTGATAAACAGTGGTTATTGGAGTTGGCTCCAGGTTTTGTTGAGAGGTTCCTCAACAAAATTGCCTCTGGAGGACTCCAGTCTTAAACAAGTGGACTCCCAACCACTGTGGACTTACTTGGCGGTGGCACCAGCTTTGGGTAGGGGAACTCCAATGGAGCTGCCACTGTAATTCCCAGCAATGCACTGCAGAAATTAGAATTTCTGCACCACAAGATCCAGAGCAGACCTATTGAAATTAATGGGGCTAACTTAGTCATGTTCATTCAATTCAATGGGTGTACTGTGTGCAAAACATAGTTGACTACAATCCTATGATAAAGTTCCTCTGTGCATAAACACATTTGAACCACAATATTGTGTGTGTGCTCAGCAAGATACTGAAGGGAGAATGAAAGCATAAAAAGCAAATACAATTATTTACAAATCACTTAGAACATTTCATGGAAAGCTGGATTTTTTACCTTATCACATGGACAGATTTTCATTGATAGATCCTACCATGGTGTCCAATAATCCTGTTAGAGAATAAATCTGCAAGGATTTATTTCAGCCAGTGCAGCTGGGTTTCAAATTCACAGTGAATTTTCTCCATACAAACATTTGCTTTATGCTACATTAAGAATAATCTCTATGACAAGCAAGATAGTACTTTAGGAATAAACAGTGCCATCAGTCTTTGGCTCTGTCTATACATGTAACCAAGATCATTGGAAACATACACATCACTAAAATATCACTGCCTTCATGAGTTATGTGAAAGGG